TAAAGTCCTATCAATTCCTAAAATCCTATTGTTCTCACAGAGAAGAGATCACCACAAGATCCAGTCAATGAGATAAAGATGATTGCCAGCACCATGTTTGGTGGCTTCTTGGAGGACTTGAAGGAAAAGAAGGTGTTAGATAAGCAAGAGTTCAAAACAATAGGGAAAAAAGTGAACGTCATTGTGAATAAGACTGAAAACCTGGCTGGCGATCTCACTGAGAAAACTCAAGTGGTAGGCAAAGTATTTATGGACCATTTCATCAATTCCAGAAGCCTGCTGAGTTTAAGTGAGTATCTTGGGCCAAAGGACTACTAACTTACTCTTTATCTGCTCTCTTATGCGCTCTCTTATACAATCTCTGTCTTCTTATTTCTATTTGCAAGGGGAGAACAAACTATCCACATCTTTAGTACTTTCTTTGCCTGACGAACTTATATAAGATGGCAAAAGGCCCCGGGCCCCCCCAGTCCATGTGGCAGCATCCAAAATCACTTTGTACTCCTACCCATCTTGTTCTTCCCTCAGCAACTGTCACCTTCCATCATCCCTTAACATTTCTTATTCGCTGTATTATATCTCCCTCTGCTAAAATGTAAATTCCATGAAGCATGGAGCTTTGTCTGCTTTGTTCATGAAGAGAGCCCCAACTATGGAAATGGCATCTAACACATAATAAGTGCTCAGTAAATACTTGTGAAATGCATAAATGGTGCTGGAGCTCTAGTAAATTCAGGGACAGTCTTTAGCTAATCTGTGCTACTCTGGCCATAGTCTGTGGACTCCAGAGTTATTCCCACATGTAAAATGTTCAATAGAAAAAAAAAAAAATCCACTGTCTCCTGCTTAGCTGTGGCTTGGCTCAAGGGATAAATCTCTGAGAACCTACACTGTCTTTGTTAAAGGAGTACCTAGGGAATCTGGGGAACATTGGTGGAACATAAGTGTGTCTTTCTCTCTGAAGCATGGGTCGGCACACTCTCTCTTTGAAGGGTCAAGAGAGTCAATATTTTAAGTTTTTTGGACCAAACTTTCTCTGTCACAGTGACTCAAATCTGATGCTGTGGCATAAAATTAGCAATAGATAATCAGTACAAAATGACTGTGGATGTGTCCCAATAAAGCTTTATTGACCAAAAAACTGGTGTTGAACTGACCTTGGCCTATAGGCCAGAGTTTCCTGACCCCTACTCTAGAGTACAATATATACATGAGTGTATTCCCAATACTTGGAACATTCCTCTGGGATCATTTTGTGGTTGCTGAAAGACTACCAAACATTATAGAGCCGTGTACATTCTTTCCTCACAATGAGAAATGCTATTGCAGAAAAGCCTTGATTAACGAATTTGATTATTCCTTGAATTATATAAGCAGGAACATAAGGAGCTCTTCATTGTATCATGGAAACTCTGCCTCTTCCTTCACATGGCACAGTCACAGTCCCGTAAGACAAACCTGGAGCTTAGAAAATGAGCCAAATGTCCATGCTTCATAGTTACCCCATGCCGAACATCATCACTTTCTTGTGAGTGCAAGGGAAAGAGTTTCTGGTGTGTAGGTTCTAGAAACCTAGTTCTGCTAACAAATCTTCTTTTCCTATTCTTTCAGAATCTCATGCTGAAAATGAAGATGATGAATCTGAGAGCAGCAAGTCATCTTCTCTGACAGGTAAGTGCGTTCAAATCTCACATCACAAATGAACACTCTCAGACCACTAGGGCTGTCAGAAGGCACTGCAGTTAAGACCTAGGAAACTGTTTTTAGTCAGTTTCCATCTCTGGAAATAATCTTCAGCGTAGAACATTGATCCTTAACTTTTTGTTCATTCCACCTCAGAATCTGAAATAATCCTGAAGGAAGTGGGGAAGAAGAAAACGCTGAGTCATCCCAGGCATTGGCTCTCCCTCTAGCAGGTGCCACCAAACCAGTGGCTCACACAAACCCTCAGACCTCACTCAGGGTAAGGCCCTAAGTGATAGGGGCCCTAAGTTACAGTGGAGAGGCAAGAGACGGGTTCAGAAATTCCAAGTTATTTCTTCCTTCTGTGCCTACCCGTGTCAAAGGAAGGTCAGCATTTAACCCCTGCTCTTCCATCTTCTAAGAATCTGGAAGTGAAAGTGAAGATCATGAAATTAGGGAGAAGGCTGGAGGCTGCACACGTGGCTTCTGCCTATGACAGGCAGTGTCACGGACGCTTGGTGACATTCTGTGAGCTAAGATGGAGAGGCCATACACTGTAGTGGAAAGAGAACTGGAATAAAACGCAAGCAATCTGTACACTGAGCCCAACACGGCCACTGGCTAACCATGTTCTCTGGCGTAAATAACCCAACATTTCTGGGACTCATAGTTTTCAATGATATTAATAACATCTTTAAAAGATTCATAGAACACCAAACAGATAAGCAAGTAACAATCGCATAATCAGAGCAAGGATGAGAAAAGCATGTTAAAAAGCACACAACAGGACTAGTTACACATACTGTGTGATCACTAAAGAAACTGAGGAGTTACTGAACCACATTAAAGAATCGCAGTGTCTAGAAAGGGGTTACTGATAGTGTTCTGTTGTGAGTACCATATTTTCAGAAGTTCTGGACAAGTTTACAAAGGCATAAAAACATTGTAATCTTTATTTGCTGTTATATCCATTCATCTATACATATATGTGTATGCATATACGAACTGAAAGCCTACTGTCTACTATTGTAATCACTGTTTATAGCAGTAAGCAAGATAAATCAAGGTCCTGCTTTCATGGGGTTGACAGTGTAGTGAAGGTACATAGACAGTAAACATGAAAAAAAAGTAGTACAAGTCAGGAAATGGACAAGAGAAAAGAGGCGAGGCATGTGGGCCAGGGTGAACAATTATGATAACTTATTTGGGGTGATATTTTGGTACATACTTGAACTATAGAGAGGGGGTTGTGCCACACTCTAAAGGAAAAGCATCCCATGGAAAAGAAGCAAGTCCAAGGGCCCTGAGCACACATGGACGTGTCATGTCAAAAAGCCAATCTGATGGGAGAGTAGCAAACTAGGGTACATGGTAGGAAGAGCTGTTATGGACTCAGGCTGAAGCTACCATACTACTCTGGGCCTTTTTTCTATTTGCAATAGAAAGTCTTTAGAAGTATTTAATGGAGGAGTGATAAAGAAGCATAGCATCAGAAAGGCCAAATGTATTCAAATATTTCAGTTAAGAAATAATAGCTTTTAGGCTGGGGTTGTACTAACAGAGAGGATGACAAGTGGTGACATCTGATCTCTTTTGGAGGTAGAGTCAACAAAAACCATGGATGGATAGGCTGTGGGCTGATGCAGGAAGAAGAGGAGTCAGGATGAATCTTGGTTTTGGTTGTCAACTAGGTGAAGGTTATGACTAACTGAGGTAGAAGAAAACTTGTAGTTGAGGGAGAACTCAGGAGAAACAGATCTCTAGGCATGGACAAATATTAGGAGTCCTTCCCTGTACATGTTCACTTTGATGTGTGTAGTACATCCCAGGGTAGACATTGAATACACAGGTGGATTCAACCCAGTTGTTCACAGAAGAACCAGGCCTAGGAATAGCTCTGGGGATCCAGGAGCATGTAGACAGTAGGTAAGATGATGTGCCTGATGAGGCCGCCTGGGCAGAGGTGACTCACAGAGGATAACAGAGGGTCCAATGTAGAAAGACCCAACTTTTAGACGTGTGGCAGGAGAGCGAAAGCCAGCAGCTTGAGGGAGAATGGCCATAACACGCAGCATCACAGAATCCTGGAGAACACTGTTCAAGGAAGGAAGAAGATGTGTTCCGCCAGATTAAATGCTGGAAGAGCAACAAATGGTCAGTGGGAACTTTGATCACAAGGATTTGAAGGTGAGAGGGATAGCCAGGGTGTGTTGCACACAAGAACAAAATGACAGTTGAGAAAGTGGGAACAGTGCAGCAGGGCACCACCTTTAAGGAGTTGTGCTGAGACGTGGACTCGGGACAACAGCTGGAGGGGAAGGGCATGGAGGGGAGGTGTCTGTGAGACCAGAGGGGTGTGAAGGCACGTGATATGCCATGGGGAGAACATAGCAGGGGGAAGAGGGAGACACGGATGGAATGGGGCTGAATAAAGGCCTGAGTCAAGTTCTTGCGGGTGAGAGGAATTGGAATTCAGGGCACAAAGAGAGTCATTTAAGACAGGAGGAAGTATATTCCCTCCTCTTTTTGGGGAGGACAGTAGATGGGGAGAGATGCAGGCAAATTAACAGATTGCTTGGTTCAAAAGATGAAATCATTCTTACACAAAAATACTGGAAGGAACAGAAGGCTGGTTTCCCTCTGGAAAAACAAAAAGCAGGAGAAGGTGGCAGATACCTGGTGGCTATTTTCAAGTATCTGAAGGTAATGATTCATTAACAAGCAGTTATAAACTTTTAATCTGTGCCAGACTATCATTCTAGATGCTGGAAATACAAAAATTAAACACACCTTCCCTGTCCTAATTAAGCTTACCATACAGTAAACACAACTAAGATAAAATATAATCATTGTTTTTCTGGGGGCATTTACATAAAATAATTGAAACACAAGGTAAGATATTTTGAAGCCATAGAAATACTCATGAGCTTTCAGCGGGAAAGGAATTAGACATTGTTCTGGATGGTCCCAGTGCAGGAAATACGTACCAATGCTTACAAGGTTCAGGCTTTGGGATCCTCAGAACTGTTCAGAGTGCTTTAGAACACTGCAAGTTCCCCGTTAGTGGAGACATTTCACTAGTGGTAATAACAACACAGTAGGGATACTGTGAGTGGAGTTCAGATATCTGAATAATGACTTGACCAGGCCAGATGAGCATGAGGCCTCCTTCCAGATCTTGGGTACTGTGCTTATGTGAGTCTAATGTGCTGGGTATGAAAGATTGGCCACCATTTGTCATGACCACTGACAAAAACAGAAACTGGCGGTGGGGTCAGCAAGAAGCAAAAAGAAAGAGGGACTACTCGAGATTTTTGTTTTTGTCATTTTTTATACAAAATGGTTTTCTTGTTATATGAAGCTTTTTGAAGGGATGGCAGTAAGCATTGCCAAAGAATGAGAGCCCAGTGAAAAGATCTCCGTGACTGCAAGGCAGGGGGTGCTACTTCCTAAAGAGTTATTTTTTTTCTTTCATAGTTATTCAGGAAATCCAGGCTTCCCAAGTGGACGTGCTGAAACTTTGTCCCTGTAAGCATTCTCAAGGACTGAAGACTGTAAGAGTACATGAGGTAAGACCCTTTGGAGTAGGAACACACAGGACTGTCCACTCAAACTGCATCCTGGGAACCCACTGGGAATTTTAGTTCTTGATACAGATGCCTTTGGATCGGCCCAAAAGGCATAGGATGTTATTTAATCATGTCATCTAATTAAGTGGCCCTTCCATCAGATTTCCTGTCTGTTTCAGCCCGTCCTCCAACATATTTGAAACTCCTCCCCACCACCGAACCAAAGCCAGGTTCCCGGAGTGCATGTCTTTCTGCCTGAGTACCTATTTCCATCCCCAAGTCCTCCAGCCATCCAGTCTGTTTTGTGTGGACTTTGGAGGCAAAAGTGGGGAGGCCACATGTAACTCACCCTGTATCTGTTATTTGCAGATATATCCAGTGATGGAGAAGGAGGGCCGAACACGCCTGGCCCTCATCATTTGCAACAAAGAATTTGACTATCTTTCTGAGCGAGAAGGCTCTGAAAATGACATTTCAGGGATGCAAGGCCTGCTTGAAAACCTTGGATATTCGGTGGTTATAAAGGAAAATCTCACAGCTCTGGTAATGGCCCAGGAGAGTGGGATAAGTTTCCTCCCCTTTCCTTCTTGGACTTCTTCCTTTGCAGCTGGAAAAACACAGTGCACATTACAGAATTCTCTTTCTCCAGAATAGGCATCCCTGGGTTTCAGCCTCTTCCAATGCACATTTTTACAGCAAAGATTTATAGGGTAGTATTTTGCTAAAAATGTTGGATCTTTCGAATGCTCTCTGGGAGGCACTGATGACTTGATAATCTATGTGAGACACAACTCTGAGGCCTTTATAATTTCAATATTATATGTCTAAATGTAAAGCCAAGTATGCAGTCAAAAAAAAAAAAAAAAAGATTGTGAGCACACACGTACACACAAAGTTGTGATCCTGTCTCTGCCAAAAAATTTCTTGGGTGATTTTGGACAAACCATTTTAAATCTCAGAAGAAATTTAAGTGTCTCTACTTTATGTCGATAGGAAACAGTCCCTTACTCTCTGTCTCACTCTTTTTTAATAAAAACTTAGGGGAACCCCAACATGTAATACAGATGAAAGCAAAGCCTTCTGGTGGGAGACCTGCCACCTCACGTGCCCCTCCTTATACTCCACCTCCCAGCACCTCCCCCAGCCTAAAACCTCTACTGAAAACCACTGGGCTACACACTGTACGAAAAACCCGCTAGGGGTGCCTGGTTTGAGCATCCTACTCTTGGTTTCGGCTCAGGTCATGATCTCCGCATCCTGAGATTGAGCCCTGTGTTGGGCTCTGTGCTCAGCATGGAGTCTGCTTGAGATTCTCCCTCTCTCTCTGCCCCTCCCACAACTCTCTCTCTCTCTCTCTCAAATAAATAAATAAATCTTAAAAGCAAAACAAAACCCTGCTAACCTTTACATTCTATATGTCTAATTTTCTGGTTTTATGTCAGAACAAAATTTCTCTTACAATTCCATTCTGTCCAAACCGTCTGATTCCTTAAAGCCTGCTCCACCTACTATTTGAGTACAAACTGTAGATGGAGAGCTCCTAGGTAGTGACTCCAGAGATTCTTTCAGGAAATGAAAACGGAGCTGAAGAACTTCGCCACCCGCCAAGAGCACAGATTCTCCGACAGCACGTTCCTGGTGTTCATGTCCCACGGCACCCTAGACGGGATCTGTGGCACGAAGCACAGAGATGAAGAGCCGGACATTCTTCCCGATGACACCATCTTCCAGATTTTCAACAACCGTAACTGCTGGAGTCTCAAAGACAAGCCCAAGGTCATCATCACGCAGGCCTGCCGAGGCAGTGAGTTGGGGTTAGGGGACCCAGGGTGGGGCCAGGCATCTTTTTCTATTCGCCTAGCAGCTAGCCTTCGTTTTCCCAGGATGGGTGACAGAGACAACATTTTAGAACTGCACTCAGGTCTGGGCCAGAAAGAAATTAAGTCTGGGGGCGCCTGGGTAGCTCAGTCGTTAAGCGTCTGCCTTTGGCTCAGGTCATGATCCCAGGGTCCTGGGATCGAGACCCACATCATGCTCCCTGCTCAGTGGGGAGTCTGCTTTTCCCTCCCCCTCCGCTGCTCTTTCATGTGCTCACACGCCCGCTCATTCTCTCTCTCAAATAAACAAATAAATAATCTGAAAAAAAAGAGAAATTAAGTCTGTATCATTTTTTAAGAAGCGTGAAGCACGCCAGAATAATAACGAATGTCCCGATCCTTTGGGACAAGGTCATTCTAAACATAAGTGGGCTCTGTATGGGTCCCAGTCAGTGAGTTGGTTTTTCTAGTAGTGACATACTTGCATTTTTAATAAATTCCATACTGGAATGTACTGAAGTAAGGGTAGAATGGTAGAAGAGATTTTGTGTGTGTGTCTGTGTGTGTAACTTCTTTCATAAGGCAAGGGTGTCTCTTCCAGGAGGTGACGGGGCCGTCTGGGTGACTGATGTGGGAGAAGCATTTGCGTGGACATATTACCAGCCCTTGCGGCATTATATCTCCAGTGATGCCATAGAAAGGACCCACGTGGAGAAGGACTTCATCGCTTTCAAATCTTCGACTCCACGTAAGTGACTTTAGAGAGCAGTCTCTCAATCTCCTATCAGTTTCCAGATCACAGGCCTGGCTATGATCCTACTTGATCACTAATAGAAGAACATTTCTTCTCTAATGATAGGCTTTATAGAGAAGAGGTTTAAAATATTGAGATTATTTTTATAACTAGAAAGCTGGAAGTCTTGATTTTGGAGGAAACTTTCAAAGTAAACCGGACTTTCGTGAGGATCCGAACTTAAAATAGTGTAACTATAAATAAATGAAGAGTTGTTTTTGTTTGTTTGTTTGCTTGTTCACTTAATATAGCAATGGCACAGAAGTGTATTTTAGTCCCATGGTTTGGTCCACCTGATCATCTACTAGCAGTTAAAGAAGGCAATCAAGTAACACTGTAATACTTGCTTCACACATTCTAGAACCTCTTGGCTGGTTATTTGAATCTAGTCTTAAAAATTTAGTTAACATTCAAATGCCTGACTTCAGTATAATGGAGACAATGACTGAAAATCCTTCTTTGGCAGGAAAGACATAGTAAAAGATAGAAACAGAAGATAATGCTTGATTACGGTGAAACCTGTGGGAAATCTATTTAACGGTCATCTATGGTATTGTTTTATGAGTGATTTACAGAACCCAGGCAATTTCCAGAATCTAGTTTACACAAGTCACAGTTCTTTTTAAGAATTTTATTTGAGAGAGAGAGAGAGTGAGCACAAGCAGGGGGAGCAGCCTCCCCATGGAGCAGGGAGCCCGACACGGGGCTCGATCCCAGGACCCTGGGATCATGACCTGAGCAGAAGGCAGAGGTCCAACCAACCAAGCCACCGAGGTGCCCCACACAAGTCACAGCTCTAAGTGCTCTGGTGTAGTGAATACAAACCTGGATGTGCACAGAATGTCATTACATGTAGAGTTCCGATTCGTAGGTCCAGGGGAGGGCCTGAGATTCGCTGGCCCAGGAGGATGCTCTGAGTCTAGTCTGGGGAAACAGGAAACAGGCCGTGTGGGAAACACCCATTCCATACCTGGAACAGCTCTACTTTGTCTTACATGTTGGAGTTTGAATAAAGTTTTATTGGAAAGAAGAGCTCTCTACTTTTAGCTACTGAAGGAAGTTAAAAAGGCTTATCCAGCCTGATGTATGCTCTAAGACTGTTTAAGTTAAGGGCATGAAGTCTAGTATGTGTGATTCCTCCATTCCTTTCTGTACATGTAACGATGAGCGGAGACACTGTTTCAGGGCATATGATGCACAGCTGAAGCAGACGTGCTTGCTGAGCCTTACGGAGTGACGAGCAGAGGGGCAGAGATGGACTGAGAGGAAGATAGAGGTACCACCTCACACAAGAACACAAGAACTGTCAACCCTGTTATGTGCTTTCAGGAAGAATGTGTTGAAAAATGAAGGAGTTAACTGTGTCAATAGTAAGAGAAGGACATTCCAGACGGAAAAAGCATTGTACACAGAGAACCTGGGAAAGAGAGGAGCTTGGAAAACAGGGCCAGTGTGTCTGGAGCACTGAGCCAGGGGCCAGTACCAAGAGAGAGGATGGAGGGGTAGGCAGGGGCCATATAATTTGAGGCCTCATATGTTAGGGAAGGATTTGATCTTTTATGTTGACATGCTTTATTACTAATATTACTTTACAGTAATAGTAATAGGAAATTTTGGTGAAAAGTACATCATGAAATGATAAGACTGACATTTTTAGATGACCACTCTGGGGGTTCTGTGGGAAATGGGTTATGGAACAGCAAGAGGCGATATGGGGAGGCAGGTTAAAATGTGACTGCAGTATCATGGGCCACAGGTGATAATGCCAGTCTTGGGAAGACATAGCTGTTGAATCCAGAAATAATTAGTATGTAAAATTTGCATGATCCGGTGTTTAGTGGATATGGCAGGTGAATAGAAGGGGTGACACAGGGGACTCGAGGTCACCAGGGATGATTGTGGTGCCTTCATTAAAATGGGAATCTTGCAAGAAAGTGTGAAATGCCTTCGGCATACTTCAGGAGGAAAAGAAGAGAGTTACAAGGCTGTATATTTGAGAAAAGAGATCGGCATCAGGATTTGGGGAGATGCTTGCCTAGGGATTATCTTTAATGTTCTAACAGTGGACAAAATGATCCACGAACAGAGAACAGATTGAGAAGACATCCCAAAGCGGAGGCTTGAACTGGAGAGACGGAAGTCCCAGTCTGCAGAGTGGATCCGAGAGTATGGTTGGAATATAAGAAAGCAAAGTAAGAAGAGTATGTGTTGTCAGAGTTACCAAAAAGAACCTATGGGAGTTAGGGCCAGTTTCTGATTTGAATGAGGGATCAGGTACAGGTGAGGCTCAGTAAGGGACCGTGAGGTTTAATGACTCGGAGGCCATGGCTGGCCGGGGAGGGGGAGCTCTGGGTGAAGTTAATGCAGCAGGCAGACAGCAGCCCGGGGCGAGCGGGCTAGGAGCGTGTGAACATGGTGAGTGAGACAAGCCCAAGAAATGTAACTACGAAAAGGAAGAAGAAACAGGGAGGCAGCTGCAGGTGAAGGGACGAACAGGGGACGATCGGCTGTTTGATCACGCTGCAACAGTGAGGAGAAGCAGAGGCTCAAACCACGTGCGTGAAGAAGAAGTGCAGGTACAGTATTACAGTAGCAAACAGTGCGGATGGTGAGGAGGTCCAGGCTCAAGGCATCGCGCGATCTAGATTCTTTTTTTGGTTATATAGTAAGTGCTGAAAGGAATTCTGTTCTTTTCCACTTCCTGCAGTAGTCGGGGGGATAACTTTGGCTCTGCCTGGGAACACGCAGGGCGTTTTCAACTGAGGGCCTGCGACGGTTTTCTCTGTGCCTGCTGTGGAAACTTGACACCCAGCTTTATCCAGATTTCTCTCTCTCTCCTCCAAAGCATCGAAATCAAACTGTGTCCAAAAGCTATGGCTCTAAGAGTCCTCCACACTTATACGAAGGCCACATCTCCCAATATTTCAATGCCTTTTATTTGCAGATAATGTTTCTTGGAGAATGAACACAGAGGGCTCTGTCTTCATTTCCCAACTTATCTACTACTTAGGAGAGTATTCTTGTTGTCACCATTTGGAGGAGATTTTCCGAAAGGTAGGGTTTCTTGTCTTTTCACTGTTATGCCCTGGAAAGCTGTGCAACCATTTTTAAACCCTTTTTTGGGAATCCTGAAAGATCTTAAGCCATCATGACACTCCTTCCGGTACCCCAGGTTTGCTTAAAGAGCAGGTTTTTTTGAAGTACCGCATGGAACCAGAGTGAGTTTCTCTGACTCTGATAGCTTTGCTTATTCAGAAAATGCTTTTGATGATACTATTTTGTTCATGTATGCACTATAGCCAAGGAAAAGCTAAAAATTTCTTCTGTGTATACTACCTGGCCACAGCCTTAATACACTCCATAAATTTTCTTACTCCTGAGAGAGAAGTCCAGATTTCCCTCTTAGGAAATCTCTGAAGATTTTCTTTACTACCTTAGGTTCAAAATGCATTTGAGAAGCCAAATACAATGATCCAGATGCCCACGATTGAGAGATTATCCATGACACGATATTTCTACCTCTTTCCTGGGAATTAAAAATCCATATGAAGCATCTCAGGTAAATGTCTCCAAGAAATGGATTTGGGTGCTCCCTTCTCAGAGTCTGTACATATAATCTAGAGTGGAGAGCGGGAACGGAGAGCAACTGCCCACTAGTCAGTCTCCTCTGCATTTTCTTAATGGCCCTAGGTAAAACCCTGCTTTCATTTGAAATTATCAGAAATTGTAAGTCTAATGGTAGCCAGCTAGAAAATTCTTCAGTCTTCATGTCTCTCAATGACCTATGTAGTGAGTAGAAAATATTTTGTTCCGATGCATGCATAAAACAATTGGCCTTGCATAGACAGCTGACATGTGGCTTCCTCCCCAAGAAGTCAGCTGGGCCAAGTCTCATTCCTTCTCTATATATGATGAGGCCCACCTGGATCACAGGGTCAACTGATGGCTGTTGGGTCTGTGCTGAGACAGTGAGGCCCCCGTGCAGATCCTCCCCTTTGGGGATGATGGGCCCATAGCCCTTCTGTGAAGGCACACCTCATAGTAGAGATTAGTTCTATTTATATCTTACCTCCAATAACACCTTTACTTATGTTTTCTTCTCTCTAATTTTTCCAGGAAAATTGAGCCATTCTGTTCTCTGTGAATCTACTATTTTAAAAGGTTAACGTTTAATCCTGAATATTTTTCTACCGAACTTCCCACTTGCCCACCCTCAGCCAACGCCAAGCTAAAACCACGGTCATACTGTTGCTGAGTTAGTGCTTAATAAATTTTTTAAAAAATAATGTTTGTTTTCTCATTTTATTGTAGAAGTAAATCATTTTCACTGCAAAACAAAGTTTAAGTATAGGAAAACATAAAATAGTTAATGCATAAATAATATGATTACATTAATAGGAGTCCTGATATTAAGCAATGATTATATTGTTGGGATGAAATCTTTGTCATAGAGGGTCAGTCATTTATTCTCCATTTGAGATAATGTTACTAATATTTGACTTGGAACTCCCACATTTATATTTATAGACTGGGTTCTCATTTATTTTGATTTATTTCTAACTTGGCCATAGGATATTTTTAATAATATTTTGTAATGAACGACAAGTAGTATTTTTTTTGAACCCTAGAATGTCAAAAATCTTTTATCTCCGAGTTCATTTATAAGTTCACCTAAAAACATATATATATATATATATATGTATATATATATATATTTTTTAAGATTTTATTTATTTGTCAGAGAGAGAGAGTGCACGCATGTGAGCACAAGCAGGGGGAGAAGCATGCTTCCTGCTGAGCAGGGAGCCCGATGCGGGGCTCGATCCCAGGACCCTGGGATCATGACCTGAGCTGAAGGCAGACGCTTAATGACTGAGCCACCCAGATGTCCCCCTAAAAACATATAAAGGCCAGTGTGAATTTATTCCTAAGTAGTAATTTTTTAAAATTATCAGAATGTAATGAGATACCACCTTACACCAGTTAGAATGACAAAAATTAACAAAACAGGAAACAACAAATGTTGGCAAGGATGAGGAGAAAGGGGAACCCTCTTACAATGTTGGCGGGAATTCAAGGTGGTGCAGCCACTTTGGAAAACAGTGTGGAGGCTCCTCAAGACATTAAAAATAGAGCTACCCTACGATCCAGCAATTACACTACTGGGTATTTATCCCAAAGACACAGATGTAGTGAAAAGAAGAGCCATATGCACCCCAATGTTCATAGCAGCAATGTCCACAAAAGCCAAACTGTGGAAAGAGCCGAGATGCCCTTCAACAGATGAATGGATAAAGAAGATGTGGTCCATACATACAATGGGATATTACTCAGCCATCATAAAGGATGAATACCCACCATTTGCATCGACATGGATGGAACTGGAGGGGATTATGCTAAGTGAAGTAAGTCAAGCAGAGAAAGACAATTATCATATGGTTTCACTCATACGTGGAACATAAGGAATAGCACAGAGGACTACAGGGGAAGGGAGGGAAAACTGAAGGGGGAGAAATCAGAGAGGGAGACAAACTATGAGAGACTCTGGACTCTGGGAAGTAAACTGAGGGTTGCTGAAGGGAGGGGGATTGGGTAACAGGGTGATGGGCATTAAGGAGGGCACGTGTTGTGATGAGCACTGAGTATAATATGCAACTAATGAATCATTGAACACTACATCAAAAACTAATGATGTACTATATGGTGGCTAACTGAACATAATAAAAAAATTTAAAAAAATAAAATTGTATTTTTAACAATGAAAAAATTATCAGAATGTTGATTTTTTTAAAAAAAATCACCAATATATATCTGTAACTGTATATTCATTATTTTAACATTATTTAACATTCAAACTGCAAATGAAGGCCAATTTATATAAGCACTAAAAAAAAAAAGCTTTACTTTGTTTTAATCCTGTTTTAATTATGTAAAAATATCCCTTTAGAATGGAAAGTTATAAAGAGGGAAGTGAAAAATCATGTGTTCTGTGAAATGATTTATGTTCCCTTTCCTCCATCCTGCTGTCTCTCTCTCTCTCCCCACATATACAAACTCACAGATGTATTTAGAAACATAACCATTTAAGATACTCTGTGACCTGCACTTTTCTTTTTTCAAAATAACCGCCGAGGATTCTGATGAGTAAGGCAAACAGCGTGAGCCTCTGAGGGCAGGGGAAAGCCATCCAGGGCTGACTGGGGGGTGGGGGGGTCTCCGAGGTGTCCTCAGGCTGTCCCTTCTGTCCTCGTCACTGAGCACCTTGTATCTCAGAGAGCACATCTTGGTCAGAGACGCCGTTGGAGTTGCAGCTCTTACTGGTACCGCGAGCAGCCCTCCAGCCAGCAAGAAAGAGGAAGACACAGAAGACTCAGGCCCCTCCCTTTCAGGGAGCCTTCTCTTCCCGGAAGCCAAGAACCACCACTGAGTCCCCACAGAGTAAACTCAGGGCAGCACAGAAATGGTGAAGTGAAGTGTTTGTTCTACGTGGCCAAAGGCCTAGCTAAAAACATGCAGTTTCTATCAGGAAAGGGGGGATAAAAACAGATACTGGGGCTCTTCGACGGTCTCTGCCAGAGATGGCTTCCATATTTGGTGGCTGTCTAATATTCTATTTTACGGAGGTATCAGAATGCATTTTACTATGTTAGGGAATTTCCAAATTTATTATTATCTTACACAGTTTTATAATAAATAAATTTCCTCATAAATACATCTTGAAATTTCTCTCTGATAATATTACTGGAATACTCTCAGAACTAAAATGACAGGGTCCAAAGCATTAAAATTTAAATCTTCTAAGTAGGGTAGTGCTAAAAAAATTGTCCAAATGTGCACTCCCCTTGAGCTGAATGTAATATGGCCCATTTTCCTATATTTTCACCAGCATGATGCATCATCTATTTTGTTCATTTATCAGGCCAAAATCCAAATTACTCTAATTTTTGTTTGCTTTCAAACTTGGTTAAGCATCCTTTCCCATGCTTATAGGTCACTGTATACAAGTTAAATGTTAGCTGGGGCTTCGTCTCGGTCCACCAGCTCTGAGTAGGGTGGCCATAACCTTCCAGGAGCTGCTTGCTGGGCCACCGCTGTGGCTTCAAGCCCTGCCAGGGCTGTTTCTCTTACCTGAAAGGCACAACCTTACGTGAGAATTTGCTCACCCCTTTGCCTGAACCGATCAGCCTTCTCATCCCCATGACGACCTGACTTGCTACTGCCCTTCTTGGGGCATCCACTAAATGAACACCTTATCAGCAGCCTCACTGCTCTAAACGAAATAGCCAGCCTTGTCCTGCTTCTGATACTCCCTACATTCTTACCCTTCTTGATTATTTTTCCACAGGACTGATTACTTATGACACATGACATAATTTACTACTTATATGTGCATCTCAACCCATAAGAATATAAGCACCACGAGAGCAGTGATTTGTTCTCTGTTATGGGATTCACAGAGTTCAGAGCAGTGCCTGGCACAGAGCAGACCCTCACTTCTTGACTAGATAAATGAATCCATGTACAAAACGTGATGTTGTGGAGCTCTGGAGATAAAATACGTATTTTTGCAAATGGCTTTGCAATACAAACGATTTTCTTGGCAATACAAAACTTAGGGTTTTTTTTTAAGTTAGTGATTAGTTTGTTGTTTTTTTTCCTATTTTATCAAACCTACTTATTTTTTTTTCTAGATTCTTCTCTGGGAACATCTATTATTTATGTGCTAAAAATTCGTAATACATTTTTTCCTTCACAATCAAACATCATTCCTTCCATGAACAGTGTTGGTGTGATTGTTCTCTGCCTGATGTTATAGTAGCTGTCAGGAATGTAACCATGAACAAGACAGACAAGTTTGCTACATCCACGGAGCTTACTTCATATAGATAGCTAACACACATAGCTAGTGTCTGAATGCTTGTGTCCCCACAATTCATGTGTTGAAATCT